TTTCCCAGTGGACAAAGCAAACGCGTAGATTGGAAATTCGGTTTTCGAAAGCGCGCGCACGTATAAAAGATAACGCTCTCTGTTTGACCTTATGTTTTATTTACGCGAGGCCGGTCGATTGCAACGAGTTGGAAGCCGCCTGGCTGGACACCGCTGCGTCTATGCACTGACGCGCTATTTTATGAGATTTTGATTTAAATCAAGTAAACCGTGTCGCCTGGCAGCGTGACTAGAATGTATTCTCGGAGCCAATGAATCCTGACTGGAATTCCATAGTTCGAATATTGCTCGATCGTTTAAGGATGTTTTAACGCGACGCTTTCCATTAATCCTACTGGACAATTATTATTTATTTACCTTAACTTACTTGAACCGGACGTTTACTTTGAATATATCTTTAGACATTTTTCTGTGTCCCTGTTAACGAATAGCAAAATCGTCAATAGATTCATTTCCTTTTGAAAGTTACAATTCGTCCGCGGATCTTATGCATTTATGGGAAAAATGTGTAATCAAAATACAGAAGAATGAAAACATTAGATGAATTTGCGAACATCATTATTTTCAGTTTATTAATAACGATTTTATTTCGATCTACACCTTTTCATTAAAGTTTTTGGCATTTTAACAGATTCTTTGCCCGCGCACCATTACACTTCACGTTCGCAATACTTTGTTTATTAACGAAAAATAAATATATATATAATATTATATATATAAATAATATAAATATAATATATATATATATATATATATATATATATATATATATATATATATTAATTATATTATATATATATATATAATATAAATATATATATATAATATTATAAAAAGAAAGTTATGTAAAGTTATGTAACTCCCGTTCTGTACAATTGAAACGAGAAAAATTTATTTTGCATAAAAATCGGCGGTCTAATTATAATACAAGAGAGACAGAAATTTATTGATAACCTATTGTGCAAAGAAGATAATATGTATGTATATCTCGTTGGCTCCATCGAAAACGTGGGCTACAAGTGACTCGGAACTAGCCTGACAAGAGATCAATGTCACGCTTGCCCTATCCAGCAGGCTAATCGCGTGTTCGCTAGATTTAATGAGCACTGCAAGCGATGTGTGCCAACGTAAACATCGGGGTGAGCGTGGTTTGTTTACGAAAGCACGCGAAAAAGAAACTGGTTTTATCTTCCCCCGTGAAAGGGAGATCACCATCGACACCCAAGATCTCCACTCACCGAACATAATCGACTGCGAAACTGTCGACGAACCACGATTGGCTGTATTGATACTAATAATACTCTCGACACTCGTGGCTTGCAAGTAATAAATACTCGCGGTTGTTTATTAACGAGTACAGCTGATGGCCAAGCTTTCAAGAAAGAAATAAACAAGAAGACGCGCTTCTCACTTTTTGTTACACTTTTTTTTTGTTACACTCGCTTTTGGTTTACTATGCTAAAACGTATCACCACCACGGATTCTATGGATTTTTATAACAAGAATGGCTGAATGAATTATAAAATAGAGCAAAAACATCGGAGTACTTCTACCCTTTGGAGTCTAATTTATTTTTCGTTAATTTGCGGTGTATCCAAAATCAAGTTTTACGCACATATAGATGTTAATAACAAGAAATGTTGATTTTATTAGTGTGGATTCGACTTCACCACCAAACTGAGAGGTTATGTAGTTACATGTAAACAAATATGTGCGTGGTATGCATTCTAAGACTGGCATATTCGTGTATTGTGGAAAAAAACGAGATTCATTTCTCCCAATAAGTGTACGAAATGCATAGATGGGACACATATATCCCGATAGACTCCAAAGGGTTAACATATCATAAGCGGGAAACGCCTAAACTCGTTTCGTGCTTAATATTATCAAAGCGCGAAAGCCAACAAAACTCGTTTTCTACGAATTAGGCGGAGTAATTATTACGCATCATCTGTTGCTAGATGTTGTATCATGTACGTTCCTTCCGATTCTGTTTTTATAAACTTTTTATTATTAAAAACTTATTGAATATTTCTTGCCACATACCTAACTGCCGCTATTATGGTGAGAATTTGGCAAGAAGTACCTTTCGATTGAACTTCAATATAACAACTTTTATTTTGCATAAATCCCCGCAGTACAGTAATTTCCGCCTAATTCGCGCTCAGATTGCACACAGAAATGGACAATTTGGGAAAAGGGACAATCGATGCGTTTCAACATTGCTGGACGAACGATCCTTATGATTCTCTCAAAAAAGGAACAAAATAACGCTAAACAGTTTCCAGTTTTCAATTCGATTTTCATTTGGCTCTTTTCTTAATTCTTTGAACTAAAACTGAAACTAAAACTGAATTTCATACATATAATCTGTTAAATATGAAATAGAATTTGATTGTTCTGTTATCGAAATCTGAGAATGAAAGTACAGTAAATTCTCCCTAATTGACGCTCAGATTGTGCACAAAAATGGACAATTTTTGGAAAAGGAGATACGATTATTCGAGCCTTGCGTCTCGTTTTTATAGTTCCCGATTGTCAACGACTGTAAAAACGAAATTGTCCACTGAGCATCGATTGGAGAGAATTTACTGTAATTATTTTTACACCGACCTAGTATTTAAGTTGTTTGAACATTTCATAAAAATAACTTGGATCTAAATCTCACGAAAGAATAGTGCCAGCTAACATGATCAATATGGCAGTTAATGCGTCATTCGCTAGACCGCAGATTTTTATGTTAGATTCCAGATTTCATTTCAAATCTTACAATTAAACTGTGGTTATTTATGCATTTGTGTCATGCGATGTGGCTATAAAAACTCGCGAGGTTCGAATAATCGTATCTTCTCTTCCCAAATCGTCCATTTTTGTGCGCAATTTGAGCGCGAAAGAGGGAAATTACTGTATAATCATGACGTTCCTCTCAGAGGAAGAAGTTGGGTCACTGTGCAAACAAACGATTGCGATGGTCAGTGACGATTCAATCGTGCCTACGCGATCCCGCCGCAGAACGACGCAATTCGTTCGATGCATTCAGTCGATTTATCAGTCCTTTTCGTCGGTAGAAAAAAATATAATGCCTTGAAATTCTGCTGCGACGACAGCGATATTAATAAACAGGTAATCCTTGGATCGTTTCCTAGTTTCTGTTGATCGGAGCCTTCGTTCATGGAAATCGCGAGGCAGGTTCTTAATTGAAACAGTGTACAAAAGTTGCTAATTATGGATGCAATTATTAATCCGTTGGCTGTTGAGATTCTCGATCATAAATCAGTTAGCTTTTAATTTCAAGATTTAGCGAAAGAATTCTTTAGCCAGCAATGAGATCTGGTCTGCGCTAGTTAGGGAACAACAGTTCCGACGATTAATTAATTAGGGGTCACATCCTCCGCGAAAGGAAAGTCCCCACAGGTTGGACAGTGGCACTTACCGAGACTCTCGCCGACGCGCATTATGTAAATTTCATAATTTTAATGGATGAGATGCAAAGCTATAACGGGGTAGCAGGGCGATTCGTAACTCGTAATCCCGCGAGAGATGATCATGCGAAACTGTTGTCATTAGTGAACAGATGCAGGAATGCGATTCACCAAGGTAGCATCTGTACCATCAAACTAAACAATAACGGTACGGTAACTGGTTGATCAATGCGAGCGCCACTGTTTCCGACAAATCCCCCCCCCCCTCCCCTCTCACCCCTCGCGCGTTTCCATATCGATCCTAGAAACTTAGTCTAAGCTACATACCTGTATGCATAAAAAATAACGCATTTGCAGAAGTACAAATCTCTCTTCGATTTCACTGTAGAAAACACGAACAGTTAACTCCTTGGGGCACGATGGTATTAAAAATGTCCCATCTTTTTAATGCACGGTAATGCATAGTGGGATATTTTTAGACCAACCTTAGAATAACCTCGAAATATTGCAATAACTGCATGCATATTCATGAACCCATGTGGCATCAACATCCTATAACAACAAATAGAATTGAATTATTATTATCTTTTTATATGTTTTTATATTATGTGATTCCTTTATTAATAAAAATATACCAATTTTGTTTAATTTAAAACGCAATAAAATTTGTGTGCAAAATGGGTCTATTTTATTTTTTGATATCTTGTGCCCCAAGAATTAATGATATTTTAAATACTTTACATATGCGTGTAATATCTTCTATCCCGTACGGAGACGAGTTTACCTCTTGAACTTTCTAGAACAAATGGCGCTAGAATAAATCATTGTTTTTTGCTGAGAGAAGTTTCTTCCGAGATATGGGAAACCATTTTGGCAACGGTTGCGTGTCTGGGGAACTGTTGGACTGTTCTTCAGTCACATTGTCGCTCGAGAGACCGAGATCGATTCTCTTCGAACAATGCTGCATTGTAAAACGAGTCGTTTGCGTAATCCTATGTTGACGCGGTTTGAAAGTAAGGTCAAGGGTTCGGCGTGAAATGAGCATAATTAGTTGGTTACATTAATATGGAAGACCGTGTCAAAGGAAGGACTCATTCCTCTCCGTAATACATATTCATCGACACCCCAGTCAGAAAAAAAAACACGAACATTACAAAACAACAATTACAACACGACACTTGAATGCCACAGTTGTAGTGTGTGTCTGTCTATCTGTTAGCTGTTTTAGATCTAGACCTAGGTTTAGAGACCTCTGGACCCCTTTAGCGTTGCAACCCTAGCATATCTACAATAAGTACTGCAAAAAAGAACTCCCCAATCTGTACAACTAATCGAGGTCTCTGAGTACGTTGTTGTACCATGAATTTAACAAGGAATTTTCTAACAACACTACTTTGCTACGCGTACTCATAGCTAATACAAGACAACGTGGATTTATGCTAGAGCCATGAACTTCTGTCATTTGAATTTCCAACACAATGGACTCAGTAGACCCTGAACTTCTAGATCCCGTTTCTGTGATGTTTCCCATATATTTATAAAAATTCTAGTCACTTATTGCCCGTTTTACGTTCACAGGTACTGTCTATGAGCGAAGAAGTCAGGCGAGCCCTCTATGCAAACAGTGCCATCTCCCTAGACAATGAAGTCATCGTGCCAGATCTTGTAGGAACCACAGAAATCCTCGGCGATGAGCACAGAGAACAACTGTGCCGGCACTTGCCAGCTAGAGCAGAAGGCTATCTGTGGACCCTCGTCTTCAGCACCAGTCAACATGGTTTCAGTTTAAACAGCATGTACAGAAAGATGGCCAAGATAGAAAGTCCCATCCTGTTGGTCATCGAGGACACCGAGGGCAATGTAAGTGCATTGTTAAACATTTATGCTAACCATTGGGGAAGTTTTCAAAATTGATCGCTACAGAAAATTATTTGAGTTTATTAGGAGGCATGTAAAAGAAATGGGACAGTCAGAATTAATAATTGTTTCCTGTGATTCTAGGTCTTTGGTGCATTAACTTCTTGTGCTCTCCACGTGAGCGACCACTTCTATGGGACCGGTGAGTCCCTGCTCTTCAGGTTCACACCCAGGTTCCAGGCATTCAACTGGACAGGGGACAACTTGTACTTTATTAAAGGGAACAATGAGAGTCTTGCTATCGGTGCTGGAGAGTAAGTATATTCCCCAAATTCTTTCATTTGTAGGCGAGCTACTAGAGGACTGTTTCAGTCGACACTTAACACTTTGACGGTCACACTTTTCGTAAAAAAACTTGCCCTTGCCACTGGCACATTTTGTCAGCTGTGTGACAAATTGGCAGGCTGTTGATAAAGGCATGCTGGTGACATAGTGTCACATAATTTAATAACCAAAATATAGAATGTAACAGTGATATAATAAAGTAAAATATAATAATAATATACTATACTATATAATATCTATATGTTACATATAACACCCATTTCAGTTTCCTAACAATAATTTCGTTTCCGCTGTCTGAATCTTCGCTGTCATTTGATTCTAGCTCACTAACATTTGACAGGTTACCCGCGTATATCTCGTCGTCACTTTCACTCACTTTTGAAGAATTGGATATGGGTGTCCCACAATTATTTTAACAGCCGAAAATGAGGGGTAGCTGAGGTCATTTGAAGTAACTTTTTCCTTTGCGAAAATGCAATCCGCGGCTTCGTTTGCAAGTTATTAACGAAAAACACTGGCCAATGAGACGAATTGGCGCGAACCATATGGTTATCGATCGGCCGAGCGACACGTGCGTTTACCGCTGAGTTTGACAGTTGAAGGAGGGTCTGTGTGCGGCGTCCGAATCAATGAACAAGTCACGGAGCATGAACTTTTGATATTTTTTTT